TAGGACCCTAAGACCTATCAGGTGCCCAAGCGGATATAAACACGGCTCCTATCACTTTCTAATAACATGAGATACCTGCCTACTAGCATCAAAGAACTGCCTATTGACTTGAGTTTTAAATTAGTATTAAATGTTGAATTTCTCTAGTTGGATTATTGTTGAGACGCACTGTTTAATTTGCGTATAGCATTGTACTGTCCCCTTTTTGCGCTTGATTTAGAGTTCCTCTTGGCGCGTGTTGTCTTTAGACTTTAAGTATATGTATATGTATGAACAATATGTAGTCCTTTCAAACTTCATGCGACTAGGTAGGCATACAGGTATCAACCTGACTAGGCTACAAACCTTCTATACCGAACTATGTTTGCGGGGCCCCAAAACCACCAATATACCTCCCATGATGACACTTTTACTCGCCGGCGCCTCACGCCAAAAACCATCAACGGTTTCGACGTAGCTTTCTGCTCAGCACTGCGACACACACCCAGAGCATCTAGAAACGAGGCTTCAGTAAAATGGCCTGTTAAAAACACTGGCTCCGCGCATATCATATTGAATGTGCTCTATGCACCATGATTGATGCCGGTGGTACCGTCTTAGGTATTCGCCTATATCCCATATTTATAGACCTCACTCGGTTTCGATTTCCATGTGCTTTAAATCGTTAGGTCCCGCAACCCTAAGGGCCGTCAAGGCTTTGCCTATGTGGTGGTCTTCGTGCGTTCAGATAGTTGTTTACCGGAATCGGCGAGATCACGATACCTCTTGCTCGGTGTTGATGGTTTTTTTCAGAGCCATAACGACAACACGGTTAGCATTCCGACACGCAACCAATGATCGCTCAACCATATTATTGTACAGCATGACGTCGGCTCCGGGCAGTTGGCCCTTAAACCAGATGTTCGTGACCTCATCTCGTGTAGGTAGGTAGGCAATGCAGCAAGCCGCATGGATCTTATGGTAGTCGGCGATGGCAGGGTCGAGAACGATAGAGGGTGGGCTTGTTGCATCTTTGGCCACCAGTGCTGCAACTCCTCCGGCTACGGTATCGACTGTGTCGATACCTGCATCGGCGATAGCGGCCGAGGCCACAGTAATGCAGCCACTCAGCACATTCATGACATCCCAGCCATCATCGCGCTGGTTCTCGGGCGCATTGCGGTCCTGGTCCCCCTCTATTATAGTGACTATTATATCGGCGCCGCTCTTGGGCCAGCGGTCTGCGATGATGGCTCCCCGTAATGCGGTCTCCAAGTGTACACCGAGGTCCCTCTCACTCGAATCTCGCAAGTAGCCGCGGCGTTGTTTCGTCGCAAACGGTGCGTATTTGACGTGAGTTGTCAAGATGATGTGAGGGGAGAAGGGAGCGGATCGTGGGAGAGCTCGCGGGCCGTGGACAGTACATGTTAACTTGAGACTCGTGTTGCTAGGGCTAGTCATGTTAGGGTTCTCAAGCTCTAGGTAGGCGGATCCGGAGGCGGATGGGGTGACGCCAGTTTTTAGAACTATGTATGAAATATTAGCGAGCGAAATGGCGAACGGGACAACTTCAGAGCGGCTTGTTACGTACAAATCTTGCGAATGGCATTTTCGGGATTCTCTACACGATCCCGAGGTGGTGAAGGGCTGTCGTAGATGGGAGGCAGAGTAGTGCCCACGGGACCATTTATCCTTCTCCGGTCGGCCATGACGGCTCGAAACTTGGGTACTGATAGCTTTTGCTTCGTATTGAAGCTTTATCGCCATATAACCTAGCAGAGAAATGCATAACGAAAATCGGAGCCCCCTCGTCTATCTTATCGATTTGCCGTACCAGCACCCGCCAATCCCACTCACCGTAGGCTCTCCACTACGGGCCGCCAGCCTTTCCCTTAAAATTTCATTGATCATCTCAGGTTTCTTCATTCTTCCCTTTCCCATCACTTTATTTTCTATTATACTTTGGCATCAAACGTTTGGGAAGCACCGCTCCGACCGCAAAAGCAAAGCAAGTGCTTGCATAGGTTACGCCGCAGTTCAATTCTTTTTACTTGCATTCGATTGATTTGACTGCATTGTGATGGTATATGGGTCCTGGGTGAAGCTCTGCCTACCTAGGTAGTTGACCATAGCAGAAATGTAGTAGAGGTGAGTCAGAATCCCTTGCTGAGCATCGGCTCTATGGCCACACCTTTCCCTCCACTTTCCCTTCGCTATTGATGAAATCTTTTCCACTGTTCTCGCGATCACCTGAGCGTACTGAACTAAACATGCACTACCATCTGAAGCACCATCTTACCCCGATTCTTTCAAAAATCGTATTCTGAGTCAACAGCTGACCAAGGCATTAGTAGTCAAGTCGCAATCGCATCAGGCCTATAACCAACCCCCCTACATGTCCCTTGGCTCTTGACTATTTTATGAGTAGGTAAGTTATCATGTATATGTCGCTCTTTTCTACCCTCCATTCACGTTGTTTTCCCTGATGAGACTCAAATCATTCAGTTCTGCTTCTGAACATAATGAAGAAACCCATATACCAAAAACTTACTCTGATCCAACAACTCTTAAATATGCCTAAACAGTTCTTTAACCGGATTATTAACTGACCAGTATTCAGATTCTAGATGTGCGTGTCCTGTGGATAATTTGTAACCCGTTCGAATTCAACAGTGGTAAGCCCTCTTCGCTTCTATGTCTATATTCTCTGAACTTATCATGATGAAAACTGTTTATCCATTCAACTATCTCACAATGGGTCGAGCCACCCTCCCGCACCAGAGTTAGCTTTTCTGGGCTGATGATGATTGGTTGTGGAGTTGCCTCTCAATAACTTGAGCCTTGTGCTAGAGTTGTTGGAGGTGTTATGCTGGCTTCCGTGTTTTCCGTCTTCATGTCTCGTCTTGAGGTGTGGGATGGGGAGCCGACACATGTGAATGAGTAAACTGGTTTGCTGAACTCAAGATATTGTTTCATGTTTCGAGTCGGACAAATAATATGACTTCGCTAACCTGTTTGAGTATCAGATCAGGTCTCTTTTCTAGATTTCATACCCTATATGTAAGAATTACCACCTAGGTAAGATAAGAAATTAAAAGTAGATGTTTGATGGTATGATGAATATCGTAGATGTCATCCATATTCTATCTTCATTGTAGAGTCGCCCGGTGAATGGAGTCTCTGTAGAATAAAATAAATACAACGGCGTATATATAGGTCTGCTACGATCTCCTATGCAAAGTCCCGGCGCCAGCCTGGTGGTTGTGAAAGATTAACGTGTCAGCAACCACGACATTCTCTCTCCTTCCAGCAACGAAGACAATAACCTCGGCAATATCATCGGGAGTCAAAGGGTCAACACCGCTAGAAGTATCATTAGCGATACAAAAGCCTAATCCACGGACTAATAGCAGAACTCACGCGTATACGGTGTCGGCCTTGTCTTTATCACCGTAAAATCGAACGACGGAGAATTCCTGCACTTATGTTAATAAATAATTCCCAAGGTTCAAACAAATCCAACATTTATAGCAAGAATAATTTCGAATCAACACTTACTGTCTCGACTTGACCGGGATCGATCTCCAATACACGAATGCGCGAGGCGACGAGCTCTTTGCGCAGGGAATCGGTAAAGCTACGCACGGCGGCCTTGGTGGCGCAGTAGATGCTGCCTCCGGCGTAGGGCTCGCGTCCGGCAATGCTGCCGATGTTGATGATGTCGCCGGAGCCACCCTTAGGGCGGCGCAGAAAGATGGGCAGGATAGCCTGCGTCACATTGATCAGGCCCGTCACGTTCGTGCTGAACATGATGTCCACGTCCTCCTCGGCAATCTCCGGGGCCTTGGCTACGCCCTTGACGAGACCGCTATGCTTCGCGTCAGTTGTTGTTCTTCATTCTGTCGTCTGTGCGCTTTTCTCCTCGGGTCCGTCTAGTTCCGTCGCAGGGGGGTAGAGTAGACAGATTTAGACTACCGAGAGAGTATGTGGATAAATAGATACGCAGGCCAATACTCACGCGTTATTCACCAACACATCGATCTCCTTGAATTCCTCCGGTAGCTTCTCCACGAAGCCCCGCACCTCGTCTGGCTTGCTCACGTCGAGTTGCACGGGGAGCACCTTGACGCCGTCGCCGACCTCGGCCTGGATGTCAGCAGCGATCTGCTTGAGCGTGTCAACGCGGCGCGCCGTGAGCACGAGCTTGAGGCCTCCCGCCGGCGCGGCCGTCCGCGCAAATTCAAACGCCGTGCTACGCCCGATGCCGGACGACGCGCCCGTGATCAAGACGGTCTTGCCAGCGAGGCGCTTGGCGACTGCTGAGGACATGGTGCGCAATGCGATCTTCGGAGTGAGGAGAGGGTTTTGGAGAGGGAGGGGCAGATCAGATCCCGATCGAAAACGACTATGCAAAAGTGTGCGCAAGGTGTGCTGGATTGAGGCTGTTGTGCGATGGAGGGGCATATAGGGTGGATGAATGACTGGACAAGTTTGCGATATATATAATCAAGAAAGAAGGAAAAGCTACATGCAATGGTCTATAGACACTTCCGATTGGCCTCCTATTGATCAATTCTAGACTCTGGTAGGTAAAGCGGCTTATTAGAAAAAAAAAAAAAAAGGCGGGATATTATACAATCAACATCGGACCAAAGGTATGCCTAGGTAGGTTTATCTACGATGTCGCCATTGCGCGGAGGTGGGATCGACCCTCTCTTCATTAACCCCACCATAAATACATAGTTCTCTCCGAGCTACCCCGCCGAGTTAGAACGCCGATTTACCGGGTGTTCTAGGATTAAATACGGGCACACGCCATGTGGGAGTGGTCTCGCATCAGATCTCAGCTTCTACGGAGGATACCCGGCAATGGAGGAATAAGAGTCATGAGAGCTACGCCTTTTTGATAGTATGAACGGGTATAGGCGCAGGAAGGGAGGGACAATATGAGATCCGGAAAGGTTGATCCTACGAGCCCGACTTCGAATATAAAAAGGCTCTCAAACCCGGACATCCGCACAGCTGAGGTAGTGTAGTGGTTAGCACGTAGGATTTTGATACGACATCTTTGATGAACATTGATTTCCTGAATCCCCGGTTCGAACCCGGGCCACAGCTTTTTGTCATTTAAGTACTTTTTTTCATGTATCTCCTTTACATAGATAATTGTAAGGCCCGAGTTTTCTTGGTGCCTGGTATTCCAGGGCCTTAGCCCCTGAAAAGGGCTAGAGGGTTGGTCTCATACGCTTAAATTTTATACTCGAGTATTGCACCTATGGTTATAACCACAATACCCAAAGAAAATCGAGGGCCCTACTTGTATAGAACCGAAATATTGTCTTAGATAGGTAACTATGGTATGTCCGATCAGAAAGTGGCGGTGCATAAACAGCAAGTCATTATTCCCCATAATAGACAAAGATAAACGTGTGCGACTAATAGTATCATATTCTCTATAGTCATTTGTAAACAAATTACATGGTCTATTATATTAAGTGTTGGTCCAACAAGCATCGCTCTTACATTCTATGTACCTGACACCTAGTCTTATTCCCCGATGTCTTAAATTGAGTCGACGTTCTAGCCGGATATTGTTTACACATACTACGCGACGTTGCGCAACCTTCCCGCATGCAGTGCTAAAGGTAAGAAAAAAAGAAAGAAAAAAGATAAAATAAAAGATAAAAGGGTGAGGGTGAGGTCGTATGTTTGTTATCTCTCTTGACTATAAGGAGCGGATAGCGAAGCTGGGAAATCTTGGTCTATCGGGCTGCTCCTAGTATAGGACGCCGGATCTTGCTATCGAAGAGTGCTTTTGAGATGTAGCAGCTGCTATTAACACCACGTGCCGCATAGAAGTAAACACTCACCGGGAGTGAATAGCTATCAGATGGTATCAAGAACGCTATGAATCCAAGCCTTGTAGCTCTCCATCACAACAAGTGGTGAAAGCAAGGTATCGTTATAGTCGTGGTCCAAGTAGTATCGTCATGCATCGGAGTGGCTTTTATCATTATGACACGGGCCAGGTGGAACTCTCGAGCGATTGACGATTAAATGTATAGCTTGCCCTAACTGGATTCATCGTTTTCTGTGAATAAGAAGGGCGTCTCGGGATTCTCCGGCGATCTAGCGAATTCTCATAGTCCACCAAGCCAGCTCTTCATGACACCTATTGCAATATCGTATTCAAACGCCGCACTTTCTTTTGGAGCTAAAGGCAATGGTTTATCCCAGGCATGTTTCTCGCCCTCAACAACGCGCACGCTGACCTTATTACCACGTCTTTCGAGTCTTTCTGCAAATAACTTTCCCTCGGCGAGCAGCATGTCGTACTCGCAAAGGCATAGATGGACGGGGGGTAGTCGGTCCACAAGTTCGTCGGGCATCAGCCCCGGCGACAGCCGTATGTCTGTCCTTTCGCGCCGTGGAATAGGGGGGTGTAGATACGATGCGTCAATCAGGTCTGTTAGTCCGCTCGGTAGTGTCAAATCAGGCCGCTTGCAGGCCATTCTTTTCTGATGTCGGTCCAGTGTCCAGTCAAGAGGGGGATAATAGAGAACGAGGCCGGCAATTTTGGGGCGAGGTTCTGGCATTTCGTAGTTCCATCTCATAGGGTCTGCTAAGGTAATCCAACTACTTATAGCCAGATTTCCACCGGCAGAGAAACCGGATAGTATGATGCGATCTGTGTCGATATTATATCGATCCGCAAGCTGACATATCTGGATAATAGCATCGACACAGTCCTCTATCGGTGTTGGGAACGGATAACCCGGGGCGAGACGATAATTAACCGAGAAGACCACGGCACTCAAGCTGTTCACGAGGGTATCGGCCCACTATAGTCCGCTGGAGTTAGTAATTACTCTTTCAGGTGAACGGGTATGGAGTGAAGGGAGTTTTGCATTGCTGCCGAGACACACTCGTCGCCCTAGCAGGAAATTTTTGCCTCCACAAGCGGCTACTACAGGAAGAAAAAGATTCTAGAGGTAGCTTACTCGAGAATCATCGGTGCCCTGGCCGAGGATAAACCCGCCGCCATGGAAATTGATTACAACTGGCCTCTTCTCAGCACCGGCTGGCCGCGAGCTATAGGGTGGGATCCATACATTTGCGCTGATTATCTTTTGGCCTTTCCATGCACTTAGTGTGGAATCTAGCCATATGGTTTCTGTAGGAGACAATGCCGGCGGGCCTGAGAGGTTACCAAGATTGAATCCAAGGCTAGCGACAAAGCGGAGGGCAAAAGCGTGGCCCCCCAGAAGCCAACGGGGACTCTTGTGCGCAGGATTCACGTAGTCGTCCTCTACGGGCGGTGGTCCAATGTCATGGATGGAAGCGACTTCGGCAGCATCGACTACCGTCGTGCCCTTAGTATCCTTGGCATTTTTAGACACGTCCATTATATTCCCGGTGTATCTTTCGGGGGGTTAACGAGCGATTCTGTAGCGATCTTGTCCTGAACTCAATCTTGAAGCCAGGTCATGAGATTAAGTACCTAGAAGTAGCATGGTGGGGTAGTGAGTGACGTCGTATTTCGTACTGATAAACCGTGTACTAGTATCTATCTCTTGTGCTGGTAGGCCCTTGTACTATGTAGCAATATATGGCCGCGTATAAGAAACAAGTTATGGCGCATTCGCCACACCAACGGATTCTCGCCTATCTTGGCAAGCTGTAAACAAAAGTGGCCAATGTTTAACAGCAAGCACTTCCCCTGACGTTGCCCTGACACACTCCGGGTGTGCTGTGAGATATTAGACTCTAGTAGGTATCTGAGGCCGAAACCCAATACCTTACGTATGTTCGGATGGGTTTCCATCAAATAAAAAACTCTCTCTAGGTTAAGAGCAATGTGACGTCATCGGATAAGTACACTGGAACAAGGCGCGGCACCGTTGCATACATAGGTACCTAGGTAATTAATTCTCTCGGACCAATCAGTACTGTTCCCAGAACTCACCTCCACAGCCCTACTTTTCGACGCAGATCTTGTCAAAAATAATTAGTATCATCTGATAAACTGACGCTGCCTAGTGTGTCGCTACATGCCTGCCCATTCTAGACAAAAAGTCCTAACTGGTGGCGCCACTGGACCACCCCTGAGTTTTGGCTGTTCGTTCCTTTCATCCCGCGACCCATCATGGCTGTCACTAGCCTCTTCGGCCTTTGGTTCCTCAACCACGGCCCCACCAAAGAGATACCCTTTCTTGACTGAAGTACCGAGTCGCCCGCCTCCCACTAGATCCATCATGGTAATTTCTTCGTCCCAACCAAAGTGAACGCCAGCGAAATGGCTGTGAAAGCGCAGGGGATCGCCGGGATATACATTATAGTCGCAGCCAAAGCGAAGGCCAGGCATCATATAATATCCTTTATCGTGCAAGTGCGCAAACAAGGGAAAAGATACGGGCACGTCTACGGCAACTGGGTGCTCTAGTTCCGAGTCTGGTGAGGGTGGTAAAAGAAACTTGCTAGTAGTAGGGGTGAGTACGTAACCCTCGACCTCGCTAGGCGATTTGTTGATTGATTTGCGTGGTGTAGGTACCGAGTCAAAGAGACTACTACTCTCATCTACCTCGGTATCAACACCGGCCAGATGACCGGTATATGAGTCTTCTGCTTCCTTTGGCTCCTTTTCCTTCTTCTTTGATTTTGCTTGTTGTGCCTTGGGCTTATTGTGATTGTTGCTCTCGATCACGGCTATCTGCATCCTCTTACCCTCGCTCTTGAGCGATTGTACATAAGCCCGTCGTGACGGCTCATCGAACGTCGCTAGTCGGGTTGGGTGCAACGTTGCGTCGTCAGCGACGTAAGCTACCTTCTTCTCTACTAGAACTTGCGCTTCTTCTGGCATAAGTTCTATAGGAAGCCCCATGAAAATATTCTGTTGAGGATTCTGAGGGATAGTCCCTACGAAGACGGAGCATATATTATAGTTCCTGCGTAAATACATGACGTCTCCTATGTCGAATAGCAAGTATCTTCCGGCAACCTTTGATATCCTCACAAGAGGAGGTTCAAAAGATGGTACTGAAGCCATTGTCACATCGGTAGTTGCCCTGCCTAGGAACGGGTTAGTCGATAGAGTCCCTTGATGCTTGCGATAGTACAATAGAGCAAATGAGTGTAGGATCATAAACCAGATATAGACGTTATCAACACAACATTTTATTCAGTGGATTGACAGATATTGATTGGGTGTAATCATTATAGAAACAGTACAAAGAGAGCATGTATTATTGACTCACCTGGTATTGTGGTGTGGGTGTTGTAGGAATATGATTCAGGTTCAGATTTGGAGAAAAGTTTTGTAGACGTGTGGGTGGATCCAAAAATCCTTGGGGCCAACCTAATAGGTGGTATGCAGGACCAGGATATGCAATTATCGCATATATTTATTTCCATTCACGGTAGGTACCTAGGTAAGTACCTAAGTACCTAACCCAAGTGAGGTACCTAAGTCTTGAAAGTTCAATTTGGTCTCAAAAGTCCATGCTCGGTTTTCCAGAATCCCCTGCTTTAGGCTCATTCTCATCACCGTCGGCCGGAGGAAGGTAGAAAGGCTTAATTATCAGTCCCTTCGACCTACTAAGGCTGAAAGACTGATCATCAAGTGCTGAGTGGGACCCACCTCCTTTTTCGTGGAAAATTGGCAGACTGTGGACTTTAACCAGGCCCTGAACTTTCTCATCATCCTTTCCATCACTTTTCGATGATGGTGGAGGTTTATGGATAGTCGTAGATTGAAGCGGTATTAACTCGAGCACACCATCACACAACAATTCCATCCACCGCACGAGGCCTGTTGTCCTGGGATAAAGTGAGAGAGGCAACGTCAGGAGAACGGTCAGATTCTTGGAATACTGTCTCAATAAGGCTCTCAAAGCGTGTAAAAACTGCAGCACTTCCTGGGGAAGAGAAAAAGAGCTCGAGTACATTGTCGGGGATAAGAGATTGGGCACTATTACACGATGGACTAATGACGGCGGAGAGTTCGCTAGTTTCAATGACAAATCTTTGATGAAGCTCTTGAACGGCGAGGTCTGCTGATTTCGAGGGCCCGGGATAGTCATAGATTGGTAGAAATTAATCTGACCTTTCGAGTCGCCAGG